CTGATGGTAACCAGTTCATTCCTAATTGCTTGCCTAATTTCTGTTTCTTGTTGGTCATTTCTGGTTTTGACTTCTGATTTCGACTTTTTTTTTTTTATTTTTACTTTTGATTTTGACTTTTGATTTCTGGTTTTTGTGTGGGACTCTCGGACCGCTTCCTTGTCTCTTCCTCCGGAGTCTCTCCTTCGGCTGTGGTTCCGCATGCATTTGTTTCTGGGGGGCTCCTGGGTCTGTGTGGGAGCCTGAACTTTGCGATGATGGTCTACCCGCCAGGTCGGGTTTGGCTTGTCGGCTGTTCTGGTTCCTTCTGCCTCTCTCGCTATTGCTGGGTTCGAGCTCCGAGGGCCTTGCGTCGGCTGCTGCGGCCCCGGCTTGCTCTTCGGGTTTTTCGGGATTCAGTGCCTTGGCGCCTACCCGACCCCTCGCTCGATGTTCATGGACGTGTCGTTTCTTGGCTGGGGCTTTGTGACCAGTGCTCACCAGGCCGACTAGGGGCAGTGGGGTCCGTCCTTCCTGTGGGCCCACAGCACGGTGCGAGAGTTCGCAGTGGCGTGGATTGTGCTTCGGAGGGTTCGGGTCGTCCTGCGGATTGACGAACCGGTTCCATTCGGACTGCTTCCCGGTGGTTCATTGCCTGAACTGAGGGGGGTTTGATGCGGTCCTTGGCTCTTTGGGGCTGGTCGCTTCAGGTGACTCATCTGCTGAATTCTCAGGGTTTGGCTCTCCTGGTGGTTCATATCCGGGGGTGTCTAACGTCCTTGCGGATGGCCTGTCCCGGTTTGTTCCCCTGTCCACGGAGTGGACTGTTGATGCCAACTCATTCAGTTGGCTCTGCCGAAGGTGAACCTCTTCTCGTCGGTATGGTCGAGGTGTCTCCTGGTATATGTGGTGCCCTTCCTCGACCGTGAGGTCATCGGGATCTACACCTTCCGGCAGGACTGATCGAGGTGGGGGTTCCTGTACCTCTTTCCCCCGGTTCAGCTGTTGCTCCAGGTCTTGGCTTGCTTGGAGACTTACCAGGGGCGAGTAGTCTTTTTGGCTCCTTGGTAGTCGGTCCAGCCATGGTTTAAGACGCTGCGTGCATGGTGTCTGAACCTTCTTCTCGAGTCTACGCGTTTGGTATCTTTGACTCGAGTTTATCACCATCACCATTTATCACCATCCGTTTATCACCACTTGTTGGTTACAGATAGATCTGTATGGTGATCAGGTGGCTTTCTTGATCATGTCCCACCTGCGGGCTTCCTCGCGGCGGCAGTATGAAGTTTCCTGGCAGTCCTTCCATTTCTTTTTAACTTTTCGTCGTTGTACTTCGCTTTCTGTTCTGGTGGTGTTGTCCTTTCTTTCGTGGTTGTTCCAGGACCAACATATTATGACGAATACTGTCGCCTCATATCATACGGAGCTGGCGGAGCCACTGCAGATTGCTTTCTGTATAGATGTTACTTCTGTGCCGTTTCGCAAGCTGTCTCGTGCATTGTTTCACCTCCGGCCTGCTCATGCGCCGCCTGAACTGTCTTGGTCGTTGGCTAGAGTGCCCTCCTATCTGTATTTTCGGTTTGTTGTGTCCCCTTCAGTTCAGGTTTGCTTTTCTAAGGCTCTTTTGCTGTTGGCATTGGCCTCTGGGGGTCGGGTTGCGGAGCTTCATGCTCTTCTCCGGCGCAGGGGTTTCTGCTCTTTTGGTTGTGGTGATAGGTTTGTTTGTCTGCAGCTGTCTCCTTTTCTGGTGAAGAATGAGACTGCTGCTTTCCAGAGAAGTCCTTGGTTTGTTGATGCTTGATTGGTCAGGCCGGGGATGCATCATGTGTTGTGTCTGGTTGTGGGCCCTCCGTCGTTATTTGTGCGCCACGGCTTCTGTGTCCGGGGACGCGCTTTGGGTTGATCCAGTTTCCCTTCTTTCCTGTTCTCGGGTACGGGTCTCTCAGGTCATCTGCAGGGTTATTAAGTCTAGCCAGCCTGTGGTCTATCTCCGTGCCCATAATGTTTGTAAGTTTCCTGCTCTTGCTGCCGTCTTTGGTAACATGTCCTGGGCTGACATTCAGCCACGGGGTTTTTGGCAGTCGAACAGGGTCTTGGCTGCACGCTACCTCGTTAACGTTCCTGGGCCTAGTCGGGTCTGTGCCGCTTTGGGTCGGCGGCTGCAGCCTGTCTCGACTTCAAGTTGAGATGTGGAGCACCGACCACATACCAGGTAAGTCCCCTTTTTTCTTTTAGTCTTTGGTGAAGTAGCTCCAGGGAGCCGTAGGGGCTCTCCCCAGAAAACCAGCGTTGGGTGTAATGAAACGCCATTTTCTGGGTGAGTCCCAGGGGGCCCCGGCAACCCTCCCTCCCTCCCTCTGGTCAGCGGTTATCGTGTGTTTTGATATCCAACCTCAGAACTGCAGGGTGGATAGCAGACATGCGGTGCAGCTAATGTGATGACATGATTGTTTACTCCTTTTCTTTTGGGGAGTTCTGTCCACTCGTTTGTCTATTTTTGTCGTTTTTAACCAGAATAGGGGTTTGTTTTGGGGGCTTACCTTTCTGGGTGCCTGTCCCAGTCGATGGCAGGTATACAGTAGAATGCTCCAAAATCACATGTGCATTTCTACAGACCATTGCTCCTCGTGCCTCTCTGAGGGGGCCAGGTTCTGGCCGTGGTCCCTGGTAGGCCTAGAACTCCACCCACATCGACTGATGCCAAAGTTAGGGGATATCCTTATCAGCCTGGATAGCTCCGGGGAGAAAATGGCGTTTTATTACATTGAATTTTTTTATAAAAAATTAAACAAAGCACAAAATTGAAAAAAATTGAAAAAATAAAAAAATGTTAAAAGGTTCATTCAGTGTATGTCAGGTAGGCTGCTCCATTTTATATGAAAACTAAAAAAAAAAAAAAAAAATGACAAAATTGAAAAAATAAATACTGTCTCCACTCGATCATCCGGACTATATGAGAAGGCCCCCCAGCCGGATTATAACTTTTTTCGGATAATGGTACTTTTTCACCTACGAGTCCAAAAGTGACCATTTCCAACTATTTTTATACTACAAACAATGTAATTTGAATTGCCTTGCCACATATAATTAATAAATATTCAACTAGAAACCTCAACTTACCTTGTTGGTGTTCGTCTTCTTGATTGATGCCACACATCTTGAAGTTAAGAATTCTTAGCAATTTACGTAACTTATACTAACACAACACTAAAATTAACACTTAAAATTACTGTACAGTTCATTAAGCAAAGTTAGTTTTGACTGTCAGCTGCTGAAGCCTCACTGGTTGAAGGCATTTGGGTTGCCTGTGAGGCCTCACTTGTTGAAGGTGCTTGGCTTGCCTGTGAAGCCTCGCTTGTTGAAGGCACTTGCTTGCGCCTCACTTGTTGAAGGCGCTTGGCTTGCTTGTGATGCCTCACTTGTGGAAGGCATTTGGCTGCCTGTGACGCCTCATTGGTTGAACAACACGTAACTTGTCCTTAATTGCTAGGACAACCTTCTTCCTCTTAACACCTCCAGAACGATTGATGTTGCTACCAGACATAGTCTTGGCCAAAAATGTTCAAAGTTGCTATGAAAATAAAAAAGTTGTTTAAAAAAATATTTCACTAATGGCGCAGCACTGTGGTATAACACGAGCGACAGGAGCACATGGGTTGACCAGTGTTGGATGGGTCCACTTGGGGCAGCTATAACACATTACGTAGGCCGCCAGGAGGAAAAACTCACAATATTTTTTAAGGAACCTTCAGCCTGTGCACATTGCTTTTAGGAAACTTATTTATTTGTTATTACATAATTACTAGTACTATTTCATTTGTTTTTGGCTATGATTAATTGTTCTAAAATTAATGGTAATTCCTGTATCCAGGTGGTCCCTCCCTACACTCCCCGCCCACCCTCCCGACACCACCCACCCACCCCACCCCCTCCTCCACCAAGATGGCAGACGGGATTAATACGGTACGGCCGATTTTTTATCCGGCCAAACCAGCTTTCATCCGGTTCCTGTGGCCATTTTGGCCGGATATTGAGATAACTTTATCCGGTCACGATTTTGGCCATATAAGGGCGTTTTCCGGATGTTCGAATCCCGGATAATTGCGGGGTTACAGTATATGATTTATTCAGTGTATGTCAGGTAGACTGCTCCATTTTCTATGGAAAATAAAAAAATAAAATAAAATTTAAAAAATTTGAAAAAATAAATGTCAAGAGGTTCGTTTAGTGTTTGTCAGGTAGGCTGCTCCATTTTCTATGAAAAATAAAAATAAAGTAAAAAAATTGAATTTCATATTGATTTGGGGGGGGGGTGTATTGTACTATATTTTAGCAAGTACAAAATGAGTGTTATTCGGTATAAAATGTATTTTTAAGTTAATATTTTTGGAGGTGTGGAATGGATTAATTCAACTTACATTATTTCTTATGGGAAAATTCGTTTCGACTTAAGACCTGTCTCTGGGAACGGATTAAATTCGCAAGTTGAGGCCCCACTGTACACATCAACCCAGTATATCTCTGGGGAGCTTCTGGGGTCTCACCCAGAAAATGGCATTTTATTACATTCAGCTCTGTTTTTTTTTTTTTGCCCAGAAAATGGCGTTTCATTACATTCAACACTTACGATTTTATTGATGTGAAGTGCGTGTCACGTTACATCTGCCCAGTATAGCTGCACTACTGTGTCATGTCACACTTGGTGTTCACATTGACAATAAATTTAACTTCAATTGCCATGTACAAAATATAAAAAAGTCTAAAACTGTAGGCATACTCTCAATAATTTGATATCAGGTACTTAGGTTTGCCCTGTACACTATGCAGTATTATTCACTCATATATCCGTAGTTAAGACAAATGATTGTAAGAATATTATTTTACCAAATTACAGGTGATACTTATGTAATATTACAAATATAAAATCATTGCTCACTAGTTCTATAAATTTGCACTTCTGAAATTAGATTATTTAATATTTGATGCCAGATATTAGTTTTCTCTTGGTTTACTTGCTACAGGAAGTGTTTTGAAAGCAGTACACTTCATCTCTGCTTTGGAATGGCAGTCACAGATATAGATAATGATGGACAGCTGGAGCTTATTGTGGTGAGGTCAGTTATTTTGTATATGTTGAATTCTACCCAATTATTAATCTTACATTATATTTTATTGTAGAAGTACAGTTAAATTTTTTAAATATTATATTTGATTGATCCCTAAGGTAAGTTTCATCAAGTACTATACATTGGACGAGAGCATTACCTTTCACGCAAATTGTCATTATGGCTCTGGTGCAAAAGTGAAGCCTGCAATCATCCCTGCAGAGTCAAAGTGCGAGGGATGTACGAGACAAAGTTCACTCATTGTGGCTCAACAAGTCACAGTGTAGGACTGAGAACAGGAGATGCTTTTTCACCCATGGGGGTTATAAACTCATGGAACTGCCTACCCACTGAAGCCATAAATACCAGAACTCTGTTAAGTTTTAAAATCTACTGTACTTGGAAAAGATCATCAAGGCAAATGGGGGGACCTTCGACAAGCTGCTGGCTTCCTGTTAAAACATCAGGTAATAAATACTGTACTGGCACAACTCCAAATTGTGGATTAAATAGTTCTGTACCCCTTCCTGGATTTGTATGAAAACCAGAATTTCCACAAATTTGCCCTTAGTGGAGAGTCCCCAGTGGCTCCCTGAAGCTGTCTTGCTGAGATTGCCCTATGCAAATGGGTTACATCAGACACAGGAGTTCGTTTTAGCCTTTTGGGGACCAGAGCCTCGCGGCTGAGTGAACAGTGCTCGGGGAACGCCGGAGGGGGGGGGGGGGTAGTCCTAAGGGCCCAGGTTCGATTCCCGGCCGAGGCAGAAACAAATGGGTAAAATATCTTTCACCCTGATGCACCTGTTCTGTGAAAAAATCTATGAAAAATTCAACCCCAAAAAGTTCAAAATCCCAAGTTCTGCCAGTTGTGACAGATATATTTGTTGACTAATTTCATTCTATCCTTACATAGTTAGGGATGGTTATGCACTCTCCAGGATGTAGAGGTTACAACAAAATCAGATAACAAAAAAGAAGAAAAAATAAATAAAGAATTTTTTTTTAAATTGGTGAAAGTAACAGACACAGTATTAACACTGGGCAATGTATTTATGTGATATACAGTACAGTACAACCTCGATTCAATGTACCCCGATTCAACGAATCTCCGGCTAGTTCGCACACTTTTCAGGCCGGATTTATGCACCCGGTTCGACAAACAATGGTTCGCCGAAGTGGGGGATGTTCAGATTTGCTTACGATGTCGAGACAGAGGTCACAGACTGGTGGAAAACTTTCCCATTCTATCACAGATTACAATTAATAATTCGCTCATATGACAAGTTCGATCTCACAAGTGGACCACACAAGTGAACCGCACAAGTGGTCCACAAATGGTCCACAAGCTTAAGATGTTGGGACAGAGTTCACAGAGTGGTGGAAAACTTTCCAATTCCATCACAGGTTACAATTAATAATTCCTTCATATGACAAGTTGGATCACACAAGTAGACCACACATGTGGAAAACAAGTGGTCCACAAGCTTACGATGTTGGGACAGAGTTCACAGAGTGGTGGAAAACTGTCTCATTCTATCTACAATTAATAATTCCTTCATATTTAACCCTTAAACCGCGCATATCATATATAAATGATATCAGTGACAAAACCGAAACCGCGCACATCATTTATATATGATTTCGTGTCTAGCGCTATAATTTAAACGCCCTGCCTGGGATAGGGGCAGCTCTAGTACAGCCACGACCAATAGTTGCCAGATGCCACCTAGAAAAAAAATCCAGGCCAACATTCTTCGGTGTTAGAGCGCCAGTATTGAGCAAGTCACCAAGGCTGGTGCACGCAGCACGAGCTCACAGCACTGCTGTTCAGCTTGTGACCACAGCATCGCCTACAAATACCATAATATACATGATACTGCTATTATTTAGCAGTGATAGTATTACTGAAGCCCCCTGACTGTGATAAAACTGACCAGGATTCTGATAATAGCAGGATTGTGGTGATATTTAGCGCTGTGCTCCATGGAGGGAGGAGTAAGGCTGTGGGAATGAGGGTTGTGGCATTGTCTTCTGACTGTGTGTGGCCACCTTTTATTGACTGCACTCACCATACCAGCTTAGTGGTTCGCTATGGTGAACACAAATGTAGATACTTATATATAACGTGTGTATAGTGTGAGATAACAGCGAGAGGAGTAGGTTGGGAGCCGCCATTTTGGTGAGGGAGATGCGTCGTCTGCACGACTTGTCATGTTGTTAATTACTTTTGGCCACTATGGTCTTTGGGCACCATACCAGCTTATTTGTACAGGTATGGTGAATAAAACAGGTAGATACAGTGGTACCTCGGAATGCGAGTGTCCCTGTATGCGAGTTTTTCGGAAGACGAGCAGTATTTACTCCAAAAATATGTCTCGGAAGGCGAGGGTTACCTCGGGACGCGAGTTTGTTGATACGCGTACAGGCCGACCTAGCGCGTGGTGGTTCGGCGATCGTCGCCCCTCTGCCCCGCCGCCCCTCAGTTTACCATTGTCTCGCGCTCAGTGACTACCCCCACATCAATTCTTCTCGCGGATTTTCAGTGTTTTGTTGGATTTTTGGTGATTTGTCTATACAATTTGTTATTATATATCTCACCATGGGTCCCAAGAAAGCCAGTGGTAAGGATAAAGGCCAGAAAGCTCATGTGAGGATGACAATAGAGGAGAAACAAGAGATCATTCGGAAGCATGAGAACGGTACACGTGTTGTTGAACTTTGTAGGCAGTACAACAAAGCCACATCAACAATATGCACTATACTTAAGAAGAAAAATGAGATTATGGGTGCTAAAGTGGCAAAAGGAGTAAGAACAATAACGAAACAAAGACCACAAATACTTGAAGAAGTGGAAAAGTTGTTATTAATTTGGATACACGACAAGGAGTTGAGGGGTGATAGTGTTTCGGAGGCCATTATTTGTGAGAAAGCCAGGGTGTTGCACGAAGACCTTCTAAAGAATACCCCTGCAACGAGTGATGCAGATACGAAAGAGTTTAAGGCAAGCAGGGGCTGGTTTGAAAAATTTAGAAAGAGAAGTGGTATCCATAGTGTTACAAGGCATGGGGAGGCAGCCAGCTCAGACAAACCAGCCGCTGGACGATTTATTGACGAATTTAAAGAGTTTGCAGAGGCTGAGGGATACCTACCGCAACAAGTGTTTAATTGTGACGAAACAGGACTGTTTTGGAAAAGAATGCCTAAGAGGACATACATTACCAAGGAGGAAAAATCCTTGCCTGGACACAAGCCTATGAAAGATAGGTTTACGCTTGTGCTGTGTTCAAATGCGAGTGGCGATTTGAAAATTAAACCCTTGCTAGTGTATCATTCTGAAAATCCAAGGGTTTTCAAACAGTATAAAGTGCAGAAAACCCATTTGTGTGTGATGTGGAAGTCTAATAAAAAAGCATGGGTGACTAGGCTTATTTTTTCGGAGTGGGTGAATGAAGTGGTGTGCCCTGCCATAGAAAAATATCTGCAGGAGAAACATTTGCCACTCAAAGCCGTGCTTCTCCTTGACAATGCTCCTGCTCATCCTCCAGGCTTGGAAGATGATTTGTTGCCTAGATACAATAAATTCCTCACAGTTAAATTCCTTCCTCCTAACACCACTCCTCTAATTCAGCCTATGGACCAGAAAATCATAGCAAATTTTAAGAAACTTTATGAAAGGGCACTTTTCCGGAAATGTTTTGAAGTGACTGAAGCCACAAACCTCACCCTCAAAGAGTTCTGGAGACAGCATTTTAACATTTGTAGTGCTTTAAAACTCGTTGACAAAGCCTGGCAAGAAGTGACTCAAAGAACCCTGATCTCTGGCTGGAGAAAATTGTGGCCTGAATGTGTGAGAGAACTAGACTTTGAGGGGTTTGAGCCTATAAATGATGCGCCTATTGTTGAGGAAATTGTTAGTCTAGGCCAGCAAATGGGCTTGGAATTGGATGGTGATGATGTGGAGGAGTTGGTGGAAGAACACAACGAAGAACTGACCACCGAAGAACTCCTAGCCCTTCAACAGGAACAGCAAGCCAACGCAGCAGCGGATGATTCTGCAGTGGAGGAGGAGGTGGCAGCAGCACCAGCGAATGTCCCTTCTGCAGTAATTAAGAAGGTGTGTCAGATGTGGGAAGAGATTCAAACAACTGTTGAACAGACTCACCCAGAGAAAGCTGTAGTAGGCCGTTGTCTTAATCTTTTCAATGACAATGTGATGCCTTACTACAGAGAGAGCTTGCGAAGAAGGGAAAAGCAAGCTTCCATGGACAGATTTGTGGTGAGGAAATCGAGCAGTGAGCCTCAGCCAGGACCTAGTGGCACTCAGATAAAACGTCCCAGGGAGAGCACACCAGAAAGGTCCTCACTGCCTGATGTGATTATGGAAGGGGACTCCCCTTCCAAACAGTAACTCCTCTCCTCCTCCCCCCTCCTCACCATCTTCCATACGCCTACAGCACTCGACAGCAAAGTAAGTAATAACTGGAACATAGTTTTGTAGGTTTATTTAGATGAATTAGGTAAATTAGGTATAAAAATTTAGTTTGATGTGGGGTTTTTGGGGTAGTCAGGAATGGATTAATTCATTTCCCTTTATTTCTTATAGGGAAATTAGCTTCGGAATGCGAGTTTTCGGAATACGAGGCGTCTCCAGGAACCAATTAAACTCTTAAACTGAGGTATGCCTGTACTTATATATAATGTGTGTGTATAGCGTAATAACACCACAAACAATATTGTTGGAGGAGAAATATTAGTGCGTCTGGTCTTGAGGGCGGCCGTCACCAGCTGACTGTGTGAGTAGCTACGTCTTTGTGCCTTTACTCACCATACAAGCTTAGATGTACAGTTATGGTGAACAAAACATGTAAATACGTATATATAACGTCTGTGTATAGTGAATAAATACAAAAACAGTATTGTGGGAGGTGAATGAGGGTGAGTGAGGTGTTGTTGAGGGAGGGAGTGGCAGTGAGTGGCTCGCTGGTGTTTGGCGGTCACTCCTCGTTGCT